TCGTCCTCGCTCTTTTCCGATCCCCGTTGAAAAATTCGAATAAGTATTTATAAAAAAACGTATAAAACGTTTTTTAATCGAACGATCACGCGTCTCGTGCGATTATCTTGCTCGATTCAATTTTGTTATATTTCTTGTCTCGCCTGTCAATTTCGCCCGATGATGATGTTCGACGCGTTTCGAAACTTTGTTTAAAAATACGGCCTTTATAAAGCGGTTGACAGGCGTTGCTCGCCACGCAACGCGAACTCATCATGATTTATCGTCGCAAAATAATTTTTTTAATCCCCCCCCTCGCTTTTTATCCGGCCGTTTATCCCAAAATGACACGGATCGACGCGATCGGGATAAAGCTCGGAATTAAACGTGTTAATTTTCAGACGGGAACAACGCGTCCCCGCGTTGAACCTTCATTCGATTTTCCGCTTGGTTTTCTTCGCCGCTTAACGACGACTCAAACGCGAACACCGGATACGCTGGCTGGTTGCATCGAAATAGCTTCCACTTCTTTTTCTCTACCTATATTCTTTCCCTCTCCCCATTCCAAATTTTTTTTCCTCCTTTGCAATCAATTGCACGTATAATTAACCAGTTAATAATTTCCTATCCATTCTACTATTTTCTCTAAGCTCGCCTAAACTTTCTTCTCCTGTAAATACATCAATCGACGATTCTTTCTTTCGATTAAAACAAAATCATCCCCCTCGATCGTTCCTCGCTCCATTCCAGTGGCCGAAATATATAAAGTTCTCTGGGAAAGGGAAAGAAACGGAAGAGGATACTGCGTTTAGCGGAACGGAAGGTCTAGAATTGTCCCGACCATTGGGTTCCGGCTCGCAGAGTACAATGGGCAGGACTGCTGGCCTTTGGTGGAAGAGTGTCAGAGGATGGCGTCGCGCAATCTATCACTCTCATTCACTGGCTATCCCTCCACTTTCCCTCCACCAAGTTTCTTCTTTAGTCTCTCCTCTCCTCGGTAGGAGATGCCGGCTCGTTCCCCTGCTCCGTACTGTTGCATCACTTATCCACCCCACTTGGCGGACGAACGAACGAACGAACGGCCGAGCTAAGCTCGCGGCGCGCGGTTTCCCTATTTTTCACCGGGAAGTGGGCTTCAAGTACCTCTGCCCGCTCTCTCTCTCTCCTTTCTCTCTCTCAACGCCCGTTTCTTCTGGCCGCGCCTCCATGGAATAAAACTACTGCCACCGAGAATTGATGTTTCTCGCTGCAAATTCGTCCTATTTTTCACCGCGTACCACCCCGCCGCGCCACTTGTCTCGGCGGACCTACCTACGTACCTGCCGCTAACAAGGGATTTCTTTCTCTCTCTCTCTCTCTCTACTTTTCCTTTTCTCTCCTCTTTCTTCCCTCTGTACTCTTTCTCCTTTGCCCACCGACTGGAAGCTCGTCTTCCATGGCGCGTACGTGCGAATAAATCGCTCGACGCGCCGAGCTTTTCTGTTTTTACAAATAGCGGTTGAGAGTGGGGTGTGGAGCAGCCAGCCCGTTTACGTCTCCAAGAGACGTTGAACTTTATAATTCTTGTAATCGAAATGGATATAGTCGTGTCGGAAATTGGAGATTGGAAGAATTTCTTCTTTCGTCAGAATATGGAAATTCGTAACAATTTTGGACGAAGGTATTCGTGATGATTGTGATCGACGCGAGAAGATGCCGGATACATCTTTGTCTCGCGATCTAGCCACTCGGTGGCAGGAGTCGAGTCGACGCTTCTTGTTAGCTTTGATAAAGAGGTGACGCGTTTTCAAAGGGCAACGTTGGCCAGGCGTCTGATTCCCGTTGACGGTACGCCGTTGGAAAAGTTCCACCCTTGTTGCCGTTGTTACGGGAGCGCAATAACTCCCTCTTGGCAGCTGCTGCGGCGACAAGTGTTACGAATGTCCTCTTCAGAGAGCCTCACCCTCGCTTTCACCATCACGGTTTCGCGGACCCAGCGCGTTACGAATTCCGTGTTTGTTAAAGGAGAAGGGTGGGTGGCGGTTCTTTCAACGAATACGTAAAACCTTCCACCGCCCATTGTTCTCGTACGCGCGGCGTGCCGATTCGACCCTTAATTGGACAGAAATCGAATCCTGAAATTCCGTAAACCTCCCTCCTCCCTTGCGATCCGCGAGGTTAGCGCCCGTTCAAACGGAGATCCCTCGACAAACGATCCCCTATAAGGGGAGGAGAAGTTACATTTGATTTATTCCGCCTAAAAACGCACGACACCCTACCCCCGCATTTTCCTCTTCTTCGCGCACGCGAAATTTTCCCCCTCCCCCCTTTGCTGGAGATAGAAAAAAAAAGAAGAAAGGAAAAAAGTGATCTTGACGATATACGAGTCACGTATGAGTGTACACGGCAGCCGCTAAAGCCCCTAAAGAACAAAAGGCGAGGAGAATTTTAAGCGCGCGGTTTCGTTTCTTCCCGCCCTTCCCGTGGTGGCGGGATTTCCTTCTCTATTAGCATAATCTAACAGAGCCCGTGTTATAGAGCTCTAGAAACGGGGAGGAGAGAGAGAGAGAGAGCTCTAGATGCGCGCGAGCTTTATGATGCGAGCATTGTTATTATGTATTTTAGCTTGTAACTCGAGTTGGCCGACGTAGTTGCGACGGGAGGAGTATCCAACTTCGGAATGCGAAAAGGACTTAGGGGTAAGGTGAACTTATGACGGGAGTTCGAAGTGTGCTTGGAGGTTTGCGCGTCTCTCTCTCTCTCTCCCTTCCATCTTGCTCGCGTTTCGCCAAGTTTGCGTCTCATCCAAGGGAGGGGAAGAGAGGGTAGGGGGAGGGTGCAGGTGCACGTACGCAAATACGCGGATGTATCATGGAGTTTCGCGTTACCTCATAAATCGGGCGACACTGGTCCATCGTTAATTTCTCCGTTTAACCTTCGAGTGGTAACTTTGTTGTGTAGTGTGTGTATATATGTAATAGAGAGTGTGTAATAGAGAATTATTCGAGCATCCCGTCGTTTTAATCGTCGTTTCGATCGAAGGACGATCTTACCATTACTTTTATGCTATTGTCGGATATTGAATTGATTTTAGTCAAACATAAATTTCTGATCTAAGATTCTTCTCTAAGATTTTTTTTAAGATTGATTAAAGTAGAGATATTAAGGAAGAATTTCATATTCGTAATCGTGCTCGTCCGTTCACGACTGTGTCTCTTCAACTATTCATCCATCCTTATCAAAGTTTACAAGTATCCTCGAAAGATGTTCCCCGAGTTCCCCGTAAATTTTAATAAATTACCGGCAAATATTTGAGTCTCGAGGAAGAAATTCGAGAGGATGGATTGAAGCGTGAAGGAGAGGTCAAAGGAGAGATGAGACGGAAGTCTTAATACGCGTATTAAACTGTTGGCGACCGGGGAAAATGTTTCCCGACGGTCGTTTAAACGGGAGAAAAAGGGTTTCGAGGGATACGTTAAGATGCGTTGCATCCGACTTGCTTCAGAAATATTTCTTCGCTCCACGCCTCATGAGTAATTACACGGGCAAACGAGTTCCCGCCATTCGTCCCATTCCCTTTAAACCTTCCTCCATTTTCTCCGACTTCTGTTGCCGACTGCAGGCAAGAACGTAACGAAATTCAGCAGTAAAAAAGAGCTTGCCCCTCCCTTCGGTTGTTAAGATAATACCACGGCCGGTGGATAAAAATATATAAATGGCAAAACTGAATTCAGCTCGGCGTGAATCACGATCTCCGGGGGCATATTTTCGCGTATCGGAATACTTTGCTCGTTCTTTGACGCCCGAAGCAGTTGGAAACTCGAGAAGACGTACAAATTATTCTTTCCCTTAGCGCGAATCTCTGTGCATAAACAACGTTTTCGTTACTTTACGCGAATCTAATGCTTTCGTTAATTAATTATCTCTCACGACATCGGATAAATCCATAATCCCGCGAATCGACGAACAATAAACATTCATGTTCAATCGTACGCTCGATGAGTGAACGTTAACGAGATACGCGAAAGCAAGTATGGAAGCGATTGAAACTAATTCCTTCCATCTTATTTTTATCACTCTGGTTTAATTATCGCCTCGACCAGGAGAATATACATTCATCCCGACTTATCAAATTATCGACGTAAGAATTCCACGAACGATGATAAACGAATAGAGATTGCCGCGATATTCTAGGATCCGTCTAATTGGACTTCCTCTCGAAATGTTATCTAGCGGAAAGCGGAGGGGATATTTTCAATCGCTTTCAATCATCGGGACAGTAATTTATGGAATTTCGAACGGCCAATCCGGCCTCGTTTAAAGTTCTCGAGAGAAGTGTTGCAAATCGAGCACCGCGAGAACGAATTCGTTTGGAAGTTTTCGATTACATTAGAGCCGAGCATATTAAACGCATCTTCTTCAAGATTCTTCGCTCGAGATTCTGACGCGAGCTTCTCTTTCCCTCTCTTTCTCTTTCTCTCTCGCCTTCCCACTAACTCGATTCGAAACGAGTTGGGAGGATAAACTTATAAACTATGAAAGTTACTTTCCTATTCAATGAATTGACCGCGCCCTCGATCCGGGTACGTGCCTCGAAACCGTTCCGTCTCCACTTCCTCCTCCCCTCGCTTCAACCCCTCTCTTTCCTTCCCTATTATCTATTGCCGCGCGTGAGAAAGAATACAATGTTATCGTTCGACCGGAAAATTACAAGTTTTCTTGCTTTCTCGCCGCGAGACGAACGTTCTACATCGTGCTCGATGAAAAACGAATTACGATGCTTTTTGATGTAATACGCTCGATATTCCGTTTAATTGGGACGTGGATCGAGGTTGGATAATTGAATTCATCGAATGCCGAAATTTATCGATTCGGTGGCATTGAGTTAGAATCATATTGTACCTCGAGATATCAGGTTTTATCAGGTTTGAATAAAGAAGATAAAGAAACAATTTCGAGAGACGTGAAATATTTATAATCAACGCTCTGTTTCACGTTGAATTAAACGTACATTTAACGCATGTTTTATTGGTCTGTTGCAGAAGTGGAAAAGACCGCAGGAGCAGGACCGGGGGCATCGGGTGCAACTGCGGGGGGCCCTCGGGGGTTGACACCTTCCCCTGCCCCCTCAACACCCTCGACCCCCGTCACCACCACTAGTCCTTCGGTGTGCACATCCTCGCCTTCGTCCTCGCCTTCACCCTCCTCCTCGCCCTCTGCTCTTGTAGCAGGCTTTGACAAATCGGTGCTACAGGTAAGCCTCCTCTTTTCTCGTCTATGCGCGCCTACACGCCGATTTTTCTTATTATCCGTCCACGTCGTAACAATTTTACGATACACGTGAAGGAAATTTGTAAACGAGTTACGTAGCAACAGATGACGGTATTCAATTTTGAATAGCATTTTATAGGCGACGGGGGCGATATATCATTTTCACCTACGCGCAACCTTACCTTCTTTTTAATAAATCGTTTCACGACGAATCCTCGACGAGACGATCCTGTCACGTGATGATATTTATTATTACCAACGTTTCGAGAGAGGTTGCGAAATTTTCGAGAATTCGCCTGGTAATCAACCCTTTGTAAATTGCGCGGAGCAACAGGCTGTATCGCGGAAACAAAGGGTCACACCGCCTTCCGTCCCGCAGCATTGATAACAAAGAAATATGTATAATATAGCCCGTTAACCGGCTGATAATCACTGCTAGCCAATGTATCGTTCGATACATCTCGAAGGAAACGGATCACAGCTTTTCCCACGCGATACGTAGAATACGTTTAATGTGATGATAGATTGTCGAACGAGTCACGATTGGTCGTTCGTTTGGACAGCACGATGTCCGACCAATCGAGAGGGATAAGATCGAGAAAGGTGTAACGGAGGTGGAGTTAGTTACGATAATGCCGAGAGCCAGCCTCGGGCCACCTTGGCTAATTAAAGCTCATAAATTACGGCTACGTGGAAAGAGAGTGACGAGAATATGGCGACGTAGCCGGACGGACGTGCCGGAGGGTGCTCGTGCAACTTGGAAGGAAAAAAAAAAAAAAAGAAAGAAAAATGTTAAACGGTACACCCTTCTACGTACGGTACGGTAGGTTTAAATTTCCACCGCGTGTTCCATTCTTCTTTTACGATTCTTTCAGCCCCTCTTAATGACATTCGAGGAATTTAATTTTTCTTCGCTTTCCCCCCTTTTCTTCTCGTCCCTTGTTTTCTTTTTCTCGCGACTTTCGGAAGGATCTCGAGCTTATCCGAGAGGTGGGCCCGTTACTTCTTAGAAATTCGCGAAATTTTCGGAATTGTATGGAAGCGGGTCGGAATCGGCGCTGAATTCGGAGACCGAGGCAAGTACAACAGTGCTGGGGGACATTTAAATTCACACGCCGTGGCAACGGGCAATCTGCCCGTGGAAATAAGGGGTAAAGCGTATTTCTATGCTTCTCCAAGTAGGAGGGACGCGCTCTAACTGGATTAGCGCGCCGAGTCCCTGAAATTAATTCCTCTTTCGATATTCGCCGCTCGGACGCCGATTGATTTCCACTCGTCCGAGAAACGCAAACAAAAATCCATACGTTCGATCGATATTATTAGAAAAACCTACAAATGTAAATATTTAAAAAAATAGTCACGTTATTAAGTAAAACTAGAAGAAGAAGAACTAAGAAGAAGAAGTTCTTGTTTCAACGAAAGAGCTTAAAAAGGATGAGTTTGTCGTTCAAAGCTCTCGATGATGGCGGAGAAACTTTTCAAAGTCCGATGTTTCGAGGAGGAAATCTTGTTGCCTTTCGCGGCATCAGCTGTGCGATTATTTGCCGAATTTGTCGAAGGTTCCATCCACACCCACGTGTTAGCCGAGAACCGCGCTATTCCCCCCATCTGAAATACGTGGACGAGGGAAAAATCCCGAAGAACCGCGATCTTGGAATATTCTGCCATGCTTCTGGCATGGGTTCGGTTATCAGGGACGGGAATTAGATTTGTGTGACGGCGATGGACAGCGCGGAGACGGCGCAGGAGTGTCGAACCGCTCGTGCAACCGTATAACTCGGTCAATTTTATCGAGTTACCCTCCCCGTTTCTTTGCCCTCGCAACGTTCTCATCTTCGTCCCTCCTTCGTACTTTTTACTCTCTGGAACATTTTTATCGAAGTGGCCGGATCCAACCCCTGAAATTCACAAAAAGATCGGGTCGGCGAAGAATTCTCGACGCTTCTTCGTTTAATAACAACCTTTTATTCTTCCTCCTTTCCTCTTTTTATTCCATCTCTTTTTTTTTTTTTCCACTTTAAATCGGATCCAAGCAGAGTCCGGCGGTTGGTTACAATCAAATTTCATGTTTTTCCTTTTATGAAATTTTTACTCGTGTCGCGCCACCGTTACACGATAGTACACGCCTGTCGACTTTATTACGTGTTTGCACTACTGTAGCGTCCGGTTTCTATTTACACAAAGCGTATTTTTCGAGCTGTTTCTTCTCACTTCTTCTGGAAACACAATCGAGACAATTCGAGCAACTTGTTAAAATATCGTTTGCGATTTGATCGTAGAGAAATTTACTTTTCTTTTTTTTAACGAATAGAGAGAGAGAGTGTCTTCTTTTTTCTTTTGTAATAAAATTTTGTTTTTTTAATAACAAGATTGGACATTTCACTCTTTCGAAAAATTCCTTTGACTTTCGTCCTTTATTTTTATCCGACAATTGTTAAGATCTGTTAGATCTTTTCTTCGATATCATCTAAAGGAATTAACTGACTCGTGAGAAAAACGTTTTCCTTCGTGGGAAATATCTTAATATATCAAGGTACGCGCGTTGTTATCTTGTTTCTGTTTACCTTAGTTTCGGCGCAATTTCTTCGCTATTATACGATCCTGGGATGCTCCTTTGCAGTAAAGCTTTGTTCAACGATCCGTATACCGGTTTATCAAGCCCCTTTTAACTTGTAGCACGCGCTATATTGTTCTTGCCTCGTCGAGGGTACTTTGCGTGTTCGCATGTTTCTTCGTTTATTCGACGTAAATGTGTCCCTTTGATAACTCCATTTTCCAAAGCATCATCGTGTTACATCCTTTTAATAGCTTTTTCGAATAATTTTTCGCGCACAACAAGAGGACGTTAAATAAATTTAATCAAGTAGAAATCATTATATATATATAACCATCATTCATCGATCTCTCTCGAATCGGGAAACGAGAATTTAATCGGAGGAAATGAGGACGATAAAATTTTTCGCGAAATAAATTTGATCGATCGGAAACGATAAAATTTTCAACGTTCTATATTCTATATTGATCGATCTCGAAGTAAAAAAATTCGAGATAGGTCGGTTTAAAAGTTTCAGCTTCTCTCTGTGCTGCGAACTTCCTTTCGAACGTGCGCGAAACTTGGACATTTCCAAAAATAGCGTTCTAAATTCTCGCCGCCCTTAATGGAGAGACACTTTTGCACCAGTTTCGCGGTGAAAGCGTGTCTTCCAGACAAGACCCAGTGACGCTTAACGATTTACACGAGGCGAATTCGAACGGCCTGGATAAAAAGAAAAAAAAAAAAAAGAAAGAAAAAAGAAAGAAAAAATTCGTAATTATCTCGTTCGGATGGATTTTATTGTCATCTGGCCGTCCATTGTGTCGATTCTATGGTACGCCTTTCCTATTTGCCGAGTCAACAGTCAGACTGCAGCTCAGCTCGACGTCATAACAGCTATCTCCCTTCTTCCATTTCCGGCTGCGCTGTCTCGCTGACAAGTATTGTGCTGTTTGCATGAAAACGAGCGAGAGGCTTCGCGGTAACGAGACTCGAGCGGGGATCGAGTTGCCGATGAAATTCTATTTTGCCTCGCGTTAGGCCTCGTCTCTGCCGTGCGTGCCCACGGCATTTATTCCGTGGAATTGATTAGGTCGGCCATCATCGATTCTGACACGGTGGCCCGCGCGAAAACCGGGGGAAGAAAAGACGGGGGAAAAAAGAGGAAGAGGAAGAATAATAAAAGACAAACGAAAGCGGGGAACACTTGGAAAACTAGGTTGGTGAAATTTTAAACGAGCTCGATTTAAACCTCCATTTATTCACGTTACCCTTCTTCTTCACCGAAGTTTTTAAAAACTACGTCCCTCCATTCACCGTGGAGAGCGATACACGCGTGTGTTTTTTCTTCTTTTTATTTCCACATGCCAGAACTCTCTCTCTCTCTCTCTCTCTCTCTCTCTGTCCTTCTCAATCACGTTTCTATACGCTTTCTCTTCGTCGTACAGAATCTCGTTTCCGTGTCTCCCGGCACAGAAACTATTTCGTACTCCATTTTCCTTTGAGGCAAGCGTGGTATCTAGCTTATTAGATTCTTGCTGGTCGTCCCGGCGAAATGTTTTCCTATTTGACGCGCGTGTTCTCTCTCGCATGGTACGCGCGTCTTGTCAACTTTTTCTCTGTATTAAATTCATCCCTGCCCCGTGATCTATGCTCGTTCCGATGATACCAATTCCCTTCCCCTTCCTGTTGCGTCTTTTGTCAACGATTGGAATTTGGAAACGTTAACAATTGGGGGGGGGGGGGAAAGAATAAGAAATAAAGAAAGAAAAAAGAAGCAAGACTCGTTGAAATTTAGGATATTTTTTTCCCACGAGAGAAAGACGCGAGCAGAGAGTGAAACAACGGATGGAACGAGCGCGGCCGAACGTGGGAGGAAGAGTCGTTGAACTTTTCACGCAGAAATATACGCCGTTAATGCGGAAAGTTTCACCCGTCCCCGATGAAAGAAGAAAACAGAGACAAAACGTTGGATCGATCCAATTCTGTTCAATCAAAAGCGAAAAATAAGCTTGTACGCTTTTCCATGGGAAAATTTAATATATCGATATACAATAACGCTCGTTGCTTTCCTCTGTTATCCGAGGATTCAAAGATCGGTCTTTTTAATCTTCTTTCCGGCCTTAACGGCCCTGTCCTACAATTTCCTGCGAATGTTCCAACTATTTTCTCTCCCCCTCTCCCCTCGTTTATCGATAATTCCATAAATAATTTCGGAATTCTTTTTTTTCGCTTCGAGAAATTGGAACTCGATCGAAAGAGGCGGCGACGAAATGGATTCCATCTATTTTTCATCATTTGCCGAGCCTACCTTGTATCGATTTCAGGCACAGCTGCGTTTATATTTCAAATTAAGCGGCTCGTTTATTTTGAGTGACACGATGGAAGGAACAAGTGGAAGAGGCGCGATATAGGTCAGCCCGGGCTGCGATGGTCGTTCGCCTTCCAATATTTTTAATTAAGTTTCCCTGATTCGATTTCTGAGAGGGCTCGTTCTCGTTCTCGTTCTCGTTCTCGTGGATAAATTCTCCTGAAAATAGGTGTCGCGTCGTTCCATGCACATATATATATATATATATCCATATTTTTACGATCGAATGGACGAAACGGATTTTACACACGCTTCCGTTCTTCCGTTCTTCTATATAAACGAATTTCATTTGAAATTTCACTTGTTCCACAATTCGCGTCTCTTTGTTCGTCCAGCTTTACGAAAATATTCGAACAGATAGATTTTTTTTTTTTTTTTAAAGCATCGGTACACGAGAGGAACAACAAATCGAGAGTAAACCGTACGATGAAGAATAGTTTCAAATTACTATATAAAAGAGAAATAGAGAGAGAGAAAAAAATAGAACCAAGGGAAATATTTGGTATAAATATTTGTCAATCTCAACTTCTTACCTCTTTCACGTACGTTTCACGTCATCGTAACCGTTCTGTCGTCTTCTCAATTCTACATTTACCTTAAAATTCCTACGTGACGATAATCATCCCACCACTCCCTGGTGCATTTTTCAACGGGTCAAATATCAAAGCTACTGTCGCGTGAAAAGTCTGCTGGCATATATACGAGGACTCGCAGGAATATTTTCCATTCCGTACATATATTCCACCATCCTTCCCTTCGCGGCGTGCTCCCTTGGGATTGGCGGGGGGAGGGCGACGTCTAGGCCTTTCATTTTCATCGAGGCTTCTCTCGTCGAGGCTTTTCAAGAAGGGAGGAAAGAAAGAGAGAGAGAGAGAGAGAGAGAGAGAGAGAGAGAGAGAGAGAGAGAGAGAGAAATACATCCACCTTGAAGAAAAACCACACGAAAGATATGATCGTTGTTCGACAACGTGCACTTAATCAGGTCGGCTTTACGCGAAGGCGGAATGGGCCCGAAGTGAAAGGCAGAGAGGAGAAGGACATTGGCTCAGACGCGAAGTTTCGAGAGAGACTACTTCGGAGGGGTGGAAAATGTCGGCGAGGCCGAGCGAGACCTTAATTTCCTGTAGCATTCCGGCTTATCTCTTTCGCGATTTATTGACCTACCCGCCAACTTACTTGCACGCTCACCACTCGTACCAAAGTTGCTAGTCATTGGTCGCGTTCAAGCATCCGTTTCCTGGTTGCGTTAACCAGCATCCGAACTAGATTATCATCGTAGTCTTTTTAGCCGAAAGGTTTACGTAAACTGTGTCCCTCTGTGTCTTTTTTAAAAATAGAGACACGAGTAGAAAGCGAAAGAAGAAGTTTTTTTACGGAAGAATTGAATTAATTACGGAAGATAAAGTGGAAAATTTTATATTCTACCTCGTTTAACCCACATCACCTGGCCTTGATTTGAATAAATCCAATAATCGACTCGTTAATTATTCCACTCGTATCGTTTAAAAGGGTACAAATTGTCCATTAATCTTTCCTTAAAGAAGAAGTTCTGCGGATAAACGATACCTTTGTCCGAGCTCATCCAATCCACCGGTTAAGTTTTCCAGCATTTTAAATGAATTATTGAATGACTCAAATCTTTCGAGATTGAACGCAAAATTAATTATTCATCCGTTTGGAAGCGCACAGTTCGTCGTGGTTCTCTGCATTCACGGTGATGGAAATCGTCGTCGTCGAATCGTTCTACACCAATGATTGCTCGTCCTTGATGAAACGCTAATTAACCGATCCTTAACCGAGGTATCCTTGATATTTAATTACGCGCATCTCTCTTTCTTTAACGAGGAAAAAAGGAAAAAAACTATTGTTCCTTGCCATTGAAATGTAGATATTTGCGGTGAAATTTGCGTTCTGCCACGATAATCTCGTTACCAGGGACAATGCTTGGTAATTACGGGAACAATGCCCCGAAGACAATGGATGGTGGCGCGAGCAATGTTTTCGCGCTATAATAACCGTGTATCGGTACATTTTCCCTTGTCCCTTCTCTGATATCGGGACACGAGCCACTTACGAGCAGGCGCTCCCATCTAATTTCCGCTTGTAAATACTCGATTCGCTTCTATCCTGTTCCCGCCCCTCTGATCGATCACTTCTTTCCGTTTCTATCCCATCGCTCCTCGAACGGCCAAATTTTTACTCGACGACATCTAAAATTTTCAAATAATTCTCCTATTTTTTTTTTTTTTTCCAAAAAATGTTTCAGCACAGACATTTGACGCACGTCGCTCCATTTCTCTTTCAGATACGCGATTGGCTAGCTGTGGAAGAAGAGATGTTACGGAAACAAGCTGTGGTCGTCGGCGATGTCGGCGAAATTATGGAGGCGCTTGATAAACAAATGGTAAGCGGATTATATTATTGTCCTTTCGTTGTCGCATCTTTCTATAGTATCCTTCCATGGCTATACGTGATTAATTCTCATTTTTCATTCTCTTATGCAAATCTCGAATAACCGATCTCAAAGACACCGAGTTCGAATTTTCATTTTAAAATTTCTTTAAAACTTTCGTCACTTTACGTTCAAAACGGTTCTCACTTTTCTTCCTTATCTTCATTTAACGTTAACATCACGAATACAGGAAACTAAAAGCACGTACGTCGGCAATGCGACGATCTGCAATATCCACGAGGGTCGAACAGTTTCGTTACAGTTCACCCCCTTATGTTGGAGGGTAAAAAGACCTCTCTGCGTTATCAACTTAGCATAGCTTGTCGGTCGAGGGATGTTCGAGGAAACGATGTTTCAACCCGGTTGAAAGCTGGGTTGGCGCGATGGCGTTTTCTCGGTTTTCCAGGGGGATATTGAAAGTGGGGGTTTCTGGGTTACTGACCGGGAAAACCCTGACATTGGCATTGGCATTAAGGGTCCAATGAACGCTGCCACGCCTTCCTCTCTGTGCGTCGACGATACATTGTTGCTTCACGCGCAATAGTTATGCTCAGACTATTGATCACTCGTCCGCCGATTTTCTACTCCCCGCGTTTCTGCCTCTTCTCGTCCATTAATTTTTCTCTCTTCTTTTTTCCCCCACTTTGCTTACCCTGAAATAATATCGTATCGTATTTTATTCCAGACAATTTCTTCTTATCTTCGTTTATTTTTACCGTTTCAGTAAGATTAAGATTAAACAATTCAAATAACGGTCACGAAGGTACGCTTTTTCTTTTTCTCTTTTTTTTTTAAATGATATAATTCCGATAGCCTCGACGGTATTCCCGGTAATTTTATTTTTACGGTTAAATAAGTACCTATAATAATTGGTCTCTCGAAACACAAGTGTTCCCGATTTCGAGTTTTAAAAAAACCGGGGCAGCTTGAGCAAAGAGAAGTTATAGATTCCATTTCTCTTTATGTTGAAGCAGCTCTGCCGCATCTCCAACGTAAATTTCCCTTCGAGTAACAAGTAGATTTATCCCCTTCCCGCGAGTTCTATTTATTTGTTCGTCCATTTGATCGTCTCGACAACGGTATCGGGGGTGAAAGGATGCATATAATAAAGTCTTAACGGAACAATATATCGATGATCGGCCCGTAATCTTTTCACCCAACAAAAGAATGGAGAATGGTGGTTCGATAAAATTACGAACGAAGGAATTAATTATAGGCGGCCCTTTCAACCCCTCCCTTCCCCCTTCGCTCGATGGATGCTCGTACCAGAGTGAAAACTTTCTCTGTCTCTCTCTCCCTCTCTCCCTTCCTACCCCTCCACTTTTCCTTCCATTTCGGAAAATCGGGAACAGGAAACGATTGTCCACTTACCCGATGATATTTCAAATTTTTTTCTCTTTTCGTTCGATGGATCGATGGAAAAAAAAAAGGAGAAAAGAGAAACGAGGAAACTCGGTCGCCGAGTTCTCCACCGCGATTACTCTTGCACGCGGATATAATAAAAGAATTAGGTCTGATCAATGATAGCCAATTTCCCGAGACCGAGATCACCTTGCTCGTTAAAGCGTCACTCAAAATGGTCGGAAAGGGAGTTTTCGGAACACGATTTCACAAGGGCGGTGGAAAACAATGGGTTTGTTACGGCGGTGTTGTTATTGATTTCCGATAACAACGGGAAGCCGGAGCAAAAGATATGGAGAAATGAAAGAGGCATCGAGCGCAGGAGGAAGAAGGAGACGGACGGGGAGGGTTGGAGACGGTTGGTTTTCCATAATGCATGGGGAAGGAGGATATCAGGATCTCTTTGAACACTGCTGATTATCGGAATTAAAATCGTAGGATAACTTACGAAACGGTAATGATTAAACTACGCACGAGTTATGAGAATATGTGTTTCAAGGATCGATTGTATTATTATCGTGTATTATCGTTCCTCGTATTATTTCTTTTATTTCTTTTATCGTAGACAATAAAATTGTTTACGTATATTATCCGTATCTTTCGTACATATAGGGATTATATTTGGACGAATATAATAACGTGAGTATTTTAAATTTTAGTTTAAGACTCTAAGAGGAAGTTTTTTTAAAATCCATTCCGTTCTCATCGCGATATTTTCTACGCACGTTTCACGTGACGATTCGTCAAACTCGAGCCGACGCGACTGTCCTACTTTCGCCCAACACGGAAATTCGAAAGCTCGATTAAAATTCGAGGGAACGCGAACGAATTTGTCAGAATCGCCCGTTGTAATTTTAACGGGTAATTGAATATTAAATCGATCTCCGCGGCAAAACTGTGAATTATCGTCGTCCGTTATATCGCTGAATATTACATACGGATTATTTACAGACTCGCCTTGATTTGTTAACGTTCATCGTTATCCCCTAATTATCTTCACGCGGTCTCATCAAGTTTACACGCGATGAAATCCTTTCATCGACAATGTTGCAATACGAATCGCAAATATTACATTTCGCCCTTATATAATTGCGCTTTCCAAACGATAGAAAAAGAACCTCCACCCCTCCCCTCCATATCCGATATTACAAGATCGTCGTTTTCCTTTTCCTTTCCCGAGCGAAATTTCCTTAAAGAGGGAATGGCACGGTCCGGTATCTAATTACGTCAAGTTTTGACGAACTTTCTCCGGCCAACTTCCTCCACGATTTTCGTAATTAGTGTCTCTGCGAGTCGGCTACCGCCAAATTGAAATTACTCTCGAATTATTTCGATTCGAAGGAAGAAAGGGAAGACGGGGGAAGGAGAAACGAAACGATATCCAGTTGTTGCCTTTAACGGAAACACTTCTACGCGCGTCACGCACGTCTGAACCAAGTTCTCGACTTCACCCCGGCTGTTGCACGCCGTGCAACGGCTTTATTTAATTGCCGCCTGTTCTTCCTCTCGTTCGACTTGTTCTTTTTACCGATTACGAGCGGAGAATTCGCGAGCTTTTTTTTTTTTTTTTCCAAGACGAGAGGTTTGGTCGAGTTGTGCTCACGATCCAACGTCGCGATGATCCTCGATTCTAGATCGATTTCGTTAGAGAAATATCGTTGGGAGAAGGAAGAACATACGACTTTGTCCGCTATCCGTGATAATTTTATTATCATTTTTTAATTCGAGTATATTGTCCCACTTGTGTCTTTTCATCCTTTTTATATTTTTTCTGTCCAATATTAATTTTCATCGATCGGTGAATACGATGAAAATTGAAAGTTCAAATTTCAACGAGCGATTCGATCAATTCGATACGATTGTAATTCGAAATCGAAACTGAATTTTACCGACTCGAAAACCGGTCGAATAGATAAACGCGAATCTCGCCTGTTATTGTAATTAAAATTTCGTATCGCGTCAGACGGTAAAATTCATTTCGAGCGAAATGGTTGTTCTAATTGTTTCGCGTGTAAATCAAACATCCCACCATAAATTGAACTGTTCTCGGTCTAACTTTGAATCGCGCATCACGGAAAAAGTTGATGTTCCTCCCGGCTCTTGCATTATTCAACGCGTCCAGAATTTTTATTTCTCTCGCTCCTTCATCGTGTTTTTGCGCTGTTTGCTCTCCAGGATACGCGCGAATGAAATTTGACGATTTCGAGAATGCATTCATCAATAATAATTTAATCTAAGGCTATCCTTAAATTATAATTCTTACATACGTCGAGTAATATTCTTGTAAATTTGATTTTAAACAATATTCTTAGAATATTTATTATCCTTATATCGAATATATTCGTTTTTTAAGCTTTTATGGAATAACATTTGGAAAAGGAAATTATTCAGTCTTAGCGTTTGACAATCGTAGCGGAGGGATGGTTGCGTGTGCGCAGTGCGTATCTTCTTTATCCCCTCGATATCCGATTAGGTATCATGCCAGTGAGAGATTCGAACTGACGATTCGAGGATTAATTTAATTATATAAACGTTTTATTTCATAATAATATTTAATCTCTTAAGCGTTTAATTTTTAGGTTTACAATTTTATTGCGTATTATATACAAGAATTTTATCGCGCATAAGATACAAGAAAATGATGATCACATTTGAAGATATTTATAAAAATATTTCGAACAAATAAATTTACGGTTACATAAATTTACAAATACAATTGGAACAAAGAGTTTTCGAACGCAAACCAAACCACTTTTTTGTCACGTTTCATAAAAATTTTACTCGAAAAGAGGAGAAAAAGGAACAAAAGAGAGAGGGAGAGGAGAAAAAAAATCGGAGGAATCATTTAAAAAGAATCAAAGTCAATTTTATCGTATAAAATTTTCAATCCTTCGCTAACGAAATTGCTACGTCTGTTTTGGGCATGGTTTAAAGCGTTTACTAAACGGCACCCTCTGCACGCGAATTTTGTGCCCCGTAGGCTTTATACCCCCATAAGCCAGAGGAGAGAGAATGCCTGTATATATATATATATATATATCTGTATAATACCGTTCCCTAGCTACCACGGATGCCCATGAAGCTGCGAATTTCACTCAGTTTCTCGGCGTGCCTCCATCGAAATACTCGTGCCGGAAAATCATGCAGCCATGTTTTGTTAACCAGCCAAACTATTTTTAAATATTTCCTCAATTTTACGTTTCCTTCCCTTTCTCCTCAGTCACAATTCTCTGACTTCTTCAAGCAAAATCTCTCGATTTTATTCCTCTTCGATCCGTCAACTTTCCCGCGTTTTCTCTATAAATTGATCACGTTCGTATATACACTCGTATATACCCTCCTTCTCGCCGTTAGCCCTTCGTTGTTAATAAACGTAAAAGCGTATTTACATTTCGACGTGGTAAGTGGCCATATAAAGAGAAAGAGAGAGAGAGAGAGAGGAAACGGTCGATCTAGAGGACCGTTCGTAATTCATCAGTGAAACGAAATTTCGATCGGAATTTCACGTGTGCGTTTCGAAGATTTTCTTTTTAACCTTTTAACTTTTAAGG